TAGTGAACCTCTAACTTTATTAGTGTTAAAGATTCAATCAGTGCGTAAAGCTGACACTGCTCTTCTTTCTCTGTAAATGAAACTTTCCAACATATTATCTATTCAGTGATGTCACATCATAGCTATGGTGCTACTAATCTGGGTGTTGTCAAAAGTGCAATATACTGTCAAACTTCAACCCACAGAAATGACAGCGTGTGATACCAGTAATAGCAATCTGTCTGTTTGCATCTTACATCATAAAATGATTTGAATGTTGTTAGAGTTATTTCCAGTGAAATACACCATGAAAAACAGTACAATGGTATGAGAAAGGGCTGAAACCTCATATTTGACAGGTTAAACTATTAGATGATGGCTGTGTTGGTCTCTCAATTACTCACTTGGGGTGGACTGAAATATCTCCAAAATTATTGGATCCAATTTTTGTACAGCTATTCCTGGTCCCCAGTGCATGAATGACTTTGGTCTATGTCTGACTTCTCATCAAGCGCTACCAGCTCAGTGGTATGTTTCACTTTTAGATTTGCTGACATCTTTCATCTCTCACAACTTTTTTTGTTTACCTGACACTTCTGGTTATGATTTAATATGCACAAGTAATTATGGTGCACAAGGTAAACATTTCCAATATGGTCACTGTCATTGTGGTCACTATCTAACTATTTTGCTTTTAAGATTTCTTTTTCTTTTCATTTTCAGTCATGGAGGGGATCACAGGAAGTATTCTACTCTTGTGCCTCATCAGCTTAACATATGGTGACTGGTGATGTTCTTTTTTTCAATTTTTATCATTATGTACCTATTTACATCTCTACCTAACACTCATATACTGTGTTTCTGCAGCTAATACCAGTCCTAGAATCGAATATTCCTTTTACAATGTGTGTGAAGACATCCCCATAGGTATAGTGTGTGAGAAATATTGAGAACTGCTATTATTTCACTTTTGTGATATTATGCCTCACAAAATACTGCACATCTTTATACTTTCCACCAATGTTTTTTTTTTACAGGTGGCTATGCGTTTACTATAAAAGCATCAGACACAGAAAATAATAATCTGACTTATTCACTCTCCGGGCCAAATGCTGAATACTTCAATGTGGGCAAACACACTGGGATCGTAACAATCAAACGGCCGCTAGACAGAGAGGTATTGCAGGATAGAAGGAGATATCCGTCCATGATCAACAACTTAATTTTATTTTGTGTGTATTTGTTCTATCATCTTATATATTTGTTTTTAAATTTACTTTGTTATAGATTACTGAAGTAATGCCTCTTGATGTTCTTGTCTCTGATGGTTCCAACAGTGTAAGTGACATTAGTG